CTCTCTCTCTCTCTCTCTCTCTCTCTCTCTCTCTCTCTCTCTCTCTCTCTCTCTCCAGCGACGATACAAAATGGATAGTTGATTTGCGAGCAATCGACAGTTAGCAGTTAATAATGCAGAGTTTCGGATGACCTCCTTACGCTTGAACGCGACTCAAATGGCTCGAGTTACGTGTCCGTGCGGTAATCCGTCACCAATGGATGCAGTAGTAATGGACGGTACCTCGATACCTCGGTATCTCGGTACCTCGGTACGTGTACAGACGCCGTGCAATTTCCCCCATTCCCCAGCTATCGGTCGCGACGGTGAGCTGCGTGACCGAGATCACGCTCGTCGATCGACGCGCCGACGAGGTGCTTCTTACATTCACACACGATGGAATTAGGATCGCGCATCGACGAACCGTCGAAAAAGAGAAAGGTGGCATGAGCACGCGCGCGTGCGAGCGAGCCATTTCGACATTTCCTCGCGATAATCGCGAGGCCGTATTCCCCGGCGCGGCGTCGCGTCGTTGGAGTCGCGTCGTTGCCCGGCTCTCCCGATGACTTTTAATCTCTTCCGACAGTTGCACGCGCGTCACGGGAAATCTCCGTGGGGAGCCTCCTATCTTCAGTGACGAAATCGCGAGGGCAATTTATCGTCGGATGTTAATTGAGGCAATCGTGATTAAGATTAAACGAAACTGCTTAAGCAGAATCGCTGGAATTGTTTCTTAACACGACGCAATGTAATCGTTCATTTCAATGAAAGGTAAATATATATTGGGTCGGAGAAAAAGTTTCTTCATAATTTTTAATTCAAAATTGCATATACGATATCTTCGTCAAAAATGAACGAAATTTAAATTTAAAAAACAAAGAGCTTTTAAAGCTTGAAATCGCTACTTTCGAAAGGTTACTATATTTTTTTGAGCTTCTGTGAGTTTGGTAATTTTTACATTTAAAAAACCACGAGCTCTGAGAAAGATGAAAAATTTTCTTTTCACTTCTCTCACGTGCAGAAAAAAAATT